TTTTTTTTTTTTTTTTTTTTTTTTTAAGAAAAAAAAAGTAAATCTGACCCCCCCCCCCCCTTTTTTTGGAATAGATATACTAGGATTATACTTCAGATTAATTTAACATCTTTTTTCAGAGTGTTCAGTAATAGATTAATGGAGAAAAACATTAAAATTGTTTTAATTTAAATAAATTGAACTCTAACATAGATGAAAAATGTGTTTACTGCTTTCAGTCGACCTGATAAAAAGCAACGTATGGTAAATATTGAAAACTCCAGGCATCGAAAACAAGAGCAGAAGCACCTTCAGCCACATAAAAGGGAAGGTAAATGGCATAAATATGGTCGCACTAATGGAAGACACATGGCAAATCTTGAAATAGAATTGGGGCAGTTACCTTTTGATCCTAAATACTGACTCATGATTAAATTAAATTAGAAAACTGTAAGAGAAATATGGATGCTTTCTACAATGTTTGGTGTTGAAACTAAGATGAAACTATCAAGATGACAGTGTCTTTTTTTCCCCATTTCTAAGTATCAGTTTGATGACTTTATACTGTTACTCAAAAGCATCAGTCAGAAGCTTACTAACGTGCATTTTCCTGTAGTTTGGCTTTGTTGAATTTTTTGCACTGGAAATGTTCAACTGTAGTTTTATTAAGGAAGCCGGGCATGCAATAGATTGTGTGCATGAAACGAGACTTCCTTTCAGTGTGTGAGCTTAAAGCAAGCTCAAATCATACATGACAAAGTGTAATTAACACTGATTTTGTTAAATTTGCAGTAGTACAGCTTGAAAAAAGTACATTGTAATGGATTTCATCTTTAACCTTTTATAATCTTATATTTCTTGTCTTTTTGTGGGTTCAAGAGCCTGTTGACTTGTGAAGAATTTGCTGCCTTTTTATGAGCTTGCTGACTTGTTCTCTTGTGAAATTTCTTGCTCATCTGAATATTGTGGAAGAAACAATAAAAGTACACCATAAGGAAAACTAATGGTCTTTATTTAAAATCTGGCATTGTACTAGTATGTGATTGTACACTTTGATATTTTATACATTTCTGCAGTAGTGATATTTGGTAAAGCAGTTTATACCGAGATTTTTTGGCAAGTTACGTGACTCTTACCCAGTGTTTACTAAAATATTTAAACAGCATCTGAATAGTTCCACCCAGCAATGTCTTCTCTAGGAAAGAGCTAAACACAGTTCAGAATTTCATCTTCTGTTGAGTTTCCCTTATAACTTGCGTTCATAGACATATATGTGACTTCCAATTCGACCTTCTGGCAAGTGAGTGTGGAAGAAAACAGCAGTTTTCTCATAATTGCTTGAAATTAGGAAAGCACTTATTTCCTAGAATTAAATAAAGGTTTAAGTAAGTAAAGGCTACATTTTGCTGAGTACTATTTCAAAAGAATTTTAGACTTGCCTGTTCTAATTGCTCCTCTACAACTTTTTTCTTAATAAAACACATTTCTTAATAAAAGAATTAACATGGTAAGTAACATACCTTGATAGTTATAGAACTGGGGCTGGTATTGACTGGGGAAAAGACCAATTATGAAATATGGGGATTGAAAGGGACCACAAAAAAGGTTATGTTGTCTATTTACCGGAGTGTTTGCTAAATCTGAGGTAAAATAAAAATAACGAGTTTTCTTCTTTTTAATGTTTACTTACCTCCTCCAAAACGCTGAAAATGATCAAGTGAGTAGGCAGTGATGCATCATTGTTAAACTCTTTATGTAACCAGTTTAAGGGATTTAGGTAAAATATATCTGCTTCATCAAGATACTGACTTTTTCCAGTCAAGTTAGGTGGACATTCGAGAAATCTCATTAGAAGCGGGCAGTGAACATGGCTATGAAAAGAAAAGTTACTGTAATAATTATAAGTAAAAAAAAATTGTGAAAGTTTTCATATTACTTGTAAGAAATATCATGTATACTTAGTAAAATGTGAAATCTGAATCCATAAACTGTGTTCCAATTTAGGTGAGGAAGCAAGCCTTGAATGCATTTTCTCAAATATGGAGCGCATGATTCTCATATCATGTACTTGTGCAGCTGCAGCATAAACTACAAGCCCAAACTAAAGCATGAAACTCTATTTCAAGGAGGGAAGTAGGTAAGCTTGGGGGACTCAACGCTCTTTAGCATTAGCAAGCTGTTCCAGAAAGTAAATGGTCTTTGGGACCAGGTAAGTTAACTTATAAATACAAGAGTGATTCTCCATAGGCTTAGTAAGGTAAAAAACTTTGGTCATAAGTGAGAAAAGATTCTTGCTCTCTTAGACCTTTTCTGCTCTGAAAGGGGATGGATCACATCCTTAAATTATGTTTTTCCTGTTTCCTTATATATTTATATAAGATTCAGTTATAGAGAGCAACATATGTTCACTGATTACATCCAAATAAGCAATGGTTTTATTGTGACATATATAGACTAGAACAGAAAAAGATTCATCTATAATACCAATCATGACAATTTAGCTAGTTACTTGGGACATGCAAAGAGCCATATTTATAATTGCCCCAGGAAAAATTAAACCTCACTTGATACGAAGATTTAAAATATCCAATTAGAAATAAGGCTAGGGCCGAGCCCGTGGCGCATTCGGGAGAGTGTGGTGCTGGGAGCGTAGCAGCGCTCCCGCCACGGGTTCGGATCCTATATAGGGATGGCCGCTGCACTCACTGGCTGAGTGTGGTGCGGCATCTCAAAAAAAAAAAAAAAAAAAGCTAAATAATTGTGCAATACAGGTTTATTTTATCTATGAAATGCACAGAAAATACACCACATCTAGTGCTTCATGACTTTTATTATAATTTAGCTGAAAGGTTTATTTCCAGGGTAAAGCAGAAATTCCTGAGAAAAAGCTGTCAGCCTTGTATTCCATAGTAGGCATCAGACTTTTTCCTCCATTGTGAGCTTTCAAAAAAAAAAAAAAAAAAAAAAAAAAAGCTAAATAATTGTGCAATACAGGTTTATTTTATCTATGAAATGCACAGAAAATACACCACATCTAGTGCTTCATGACTTTTATTATAATTTAGCTGAAAGGTTTATTTCCAGGGTAAAGCAGAAATTCCTGAGAAAAAGCTGTCAGCCTTGTATTCCATAGTAGGCATCAGACTTTTTCCTCCATTGTGAGCTTTGAAAAAGTATAAGATAACAATTTGGTGAACTATACAAAGCCTAAGACATCAACCATTTCAAATATGTATGGAGAACATCTTGGTACCTCTAGAATTCCTATTCCTGCAGTATAACCACTCTTGTGCGCATGGAGGGGGGATGAATGTCCCTCTCACCTGTTTTTTTAATATAGTAGGGAATCCTCAAGTTGAAGGGATACTTGAGGGTTCCATCAAGCCTGTGGCTTTTGCTAGGCAACCCCAATTTTTAAAATTGTGTATTAATGATTGGCATTAATGATTCCATTAAGTAGAATATTCCAAAAGTATTAAATTCCCCTAAAATGATATCCATGATGATATTAAGACTGTTTAGAGCCAGACTGAATTAAATAGGTGTAGAATTTTCTATAGGAAAACTGGTTGCTTTGCCGCTGTACTATTATTGGACAACTGGTGACTAATACAGCTTCCTGAAATACAAGCATAGGACTAAAAGGATGCCCTGCATAGTTAAGGCAATTTTAGTATTTTACATTTCCACAAAACACTTAATTCAAGCACTATAATATCATCTAGCTCCATTCCCTAATTTTCACAGTGATGTCCAGACTGGTTTAAGACCAAGGTGACAGTCCAGTAGTATATCTGGACTAGAATCCATTGTTCTGAGATTAATGCAAAATTGTGTAAATAAAAGATGTATCACAAAGATCTGTAGTAAGATTAGTGATAAGTATACTAAGAAAAGTATCAAATACCTACAAAATGTTTTATCAATTTAAATCAGATTTAAGTGTAAACGGTTTAAAAATTCTTTGAAGAATATTAAAGTTTATATAAACTTACATGATTTTAATTGGCACAGTTTAAATGTTTTTAAGATCTATCAGTGAATAAATATGAGTGGGAGTTTAAAGTTTATCATTTGATCAACAATCAACTAATTCACATCCAGAAATCTGAAAGGAAATTTTAGTCAGTTTCATTTTCTTAATAATAGCATACAGTGGAACAACTTGTATTACCTGTAATAAGGAGTAGAGTGGCAAGGCATCATTACAAATATTGAAGCTGCAGATTTATTGGGACTGTTGTAACAGACTTTTTGAATATGACTCATGACATCAAGAGTACCTCGTTGATGAACTAAACCAGTATAGAGGGCGAGGAGCACATTTGATAAAAACAGGAAACTTAGAGCTGGTTTCTTCCACGTTTTCAGGTGGGTTAGTGAGTATCCTATATAAAGATAGGCACATTGAATTGTAACACTGGCCATCTGTTGTTTTCTTATGTTAAATGCAAATATATTTGTGGTTATCATGGAGACAGCACAAGCTGTAATACTGTCATGGACAAATAAGAGATAATAAGTCACCATAATTTCTTTGACCATTCACTGTCATTGTACTGTCCTTTAGGTCTTGACTTTTTTTAGTAAAAGACATTGAGGTATGTTGGAAACATTATGGCTATGGAGTCTAACAGATCTGTATTTGAATTCCAGCTCTGTAAAAGTTGTTTCACTTTGCTGAGCATTGGTTTTTTCTAATACTTTTTCACGTATTAGGAAAAATGTTTAGTGCCTGTCCTGGCATACAGTAGTTGCTAAACAAATAGGATTTTAATTATTCCATATGCCTAAACTCCCAAGCACTAGCAGTAGATATTTTAGTGTGTAATACAAGCCTCAGTAATGTGTCCTCTTAGAAAGACATGCCATGGGGCTCCTGGGAGATTTTCAGTGTTCAGTGTATGAGTGGTATGGATCTCTCTGGAAGAAGAGGAGCTGTGTCTTACATTTTTTTCTTTCATTAGTGTTGGGCAACTTGGAGATGATGAACATTTTTCTTTTTGAATTTGTGAAAGCAATTCTTGTGTGTGGTGAAAACCAAAAAAACAAGTAGAAAAACAGAAGGGTATAAAATGAAAAGTAAAAGTCCCTCTCCTCTCCCATAGTCTTATTCTCCAGCAACGGGATCTGCTGAAAAATACCAAAGAACAGGCCTTTCCACTGGAAAGGAGGAATAAGCTTGTTAGTAAGCTTCCTTGACATTTTGTTCATAGTTCACATACACTGTTTGAGTGGAATTAGATAGTAGCTCTTTTGGAACTTGGTATCCAGCATCCAAACCATGGTCTGCCCAGAATTTTAGCACTAATACCCATTGCTTTGTTCATAGTTCACATACACTGTTTGAGTGGAATTAGATAGTAGCTCTTTTGGAACTTGGGTATCCAGCATCCAAACCATGGTCTGCCCAGAATTTTAGCACTAATACCCATTGCGCCAAGGCAGTGTTTTCCATTTTGTTCCTCCTCTGTAAATATTTTAGATAACAGTACCCACCGTTCATACCATTCAGGAGTTGGAATAACACATATCCATATCTCCTAGTACTGTTAATCTTGAAATAGCTCTGATTAACCAAAGAACATTCTACAAAGTGGTGTGATTAAAAAATGTAGTCAGATCAAGAAAACTAAGCCTATTATTTAAAACTTAGATCTATATTTATAAAATGTTTGAAATGGTAAAATGAAGAACCTACTAAAGAGGATAAGAACTAGAATTAGTTTTACTAGGAATAAAGTAAGATTCCAAAAGTTAAGCCATCTGTATTAACTCCAACCACAGAACAGACCAGCAAATAAAACTTGAAACGCTTACTTGGGTTAATAGGCAAAACCTACATCTACCTCAGTGGGCTAAAACTACAAGAAGATACATTAAAGCCTGTCCTGGTAAGGCCCTAGAAGACAACTTGCTCTCAGGAATGTTCAAATCAGTATAAAGTGGACATAGGTAAAGTGGCTAACTCTTTAACAGTTTGTTCATTCACTACATGTTCACCGGAAGTTTTATCGAAACTTTGGCATCAGGGATGCAATAGGATGGATGGGTGACAGAAAATGGGAATATGTGGTGGTGAATGTTATGAAAATGGCACCCTGGGTAGGATGCTGGAAGATGACGTGCTTGTGGCTTGTGTTCCCAGCATCTTCAGTACTGGTGGGGTTGGGGGCTTCTCTTAAGTTAGGTGATGCTTGCTTTACTTATGTGGTGATCATTTTCACTTTCACTTAGCTCATTTTAGGGTAGGTCATTTTGGTGAGAACTGAATCTCCGTGTTGGAAAAATAATATGAAAAAAATGGTGGTAACAGAAGGAACACAGCCTAAGTAAAATGATAGTTTAGTTTCCTGACGACAGTGGATACTGATAAATATTTGCCGTTCAAAAGTTGCTTCTCCAGTGTCATTGGTGGTATAGTAGTGAGCATAGCTGCCTTCCAAAATTGGCTTCTCCGATAATATAGGTCAGATGAGCTTTTTTGGGATATTCTTGGAGCTATGTGTCACCGTATTATTTCAAAGGGAAAAATGCATTTCAAGTTCCAACTTAAAATTAAGTTTTGGGCTAAAACCTTATTTCAACCTTGAGGTCTGCATTTCTTTTTATATACATTTTTAGCACCCTATAAGCATTACTAAACATCTGACATATGGGAATATATCTTTAAAAAATTCAGTTATCATCAAATGACTTTTGTGCACATGTTAGAAAAGAACCTGACTTTATAGTATAAGTCAAGAGTCTTGAATCTGAAGCCTGAGATTTTCAAACCATCTGACATTGAAAGATTCCCAAGGGGATTTCAGAAACTGGAGTTGGTAAAGGGGGAGTTGGAAAGATACATAACAGTTTTAATGCCAGACTGAGTGAGCTACAAGAGAAGCCTAGGACCCATGGTTTTTTTTTTTTTTTGAGTGGACATGGGGCTGGGCACAATCCAAACTCTTCACCTTGCTGTTATAACACTGTGCTCTAACCAACTGAGCTAACCGGCCAGTGCTCATGGTTTTCTTATAGAGAAATTGTATTGTTTCTTCAATAGTTAAAAGAGGAAATCAACAAGATTCTAGTAGCTGCCACCCAGTAAAGTCTACTTAATTGCACATGCAAATATGGAGATATATATAATTCTCACTGAAATAATCCAACTACAAATGACCAAGCTTCAGAAATTGATAATCACCACCATGTAAATAATGTAAACATTACCTACTTAAAATGCAAAATCCCGTCCTATTTACTGAAGATTTGGGACTTTGTATGAGCCCTGGTCACTAGTTGTCAGAATGTAGACCCCTTCATTTCACATAGTAGCCAACTCATTGTTAACTGGATGCTAACCATCACCCCCAAATACTTAATTTGTTCCTGTCATCTGGGCCTATGAGAAGATACTTAAAAGTGGGTATATAGGAAATTTCTGGAGAACTGCATAAGAAAGTGGTAACAGGGCTGGCTGGTTAGCTCAGTTGGTTAGGTGTGATGTCATAACACCAAAGTCAAGGGTTTGGCTCCCCTTACTGGCCAGCTGCCAAAAAAAAAAAACTCCCAAAAAACAATAGTTATCTATAGGGAATGGGGTTCTATGATTTGAGTATGACACACTAATGCATTTATTTGTCTTTGTACCATAAGCACTGGTTATTTTTATAACAGAATACACTGAGTTCTTATCAAATCATTCTCATCACACTACTGTTTAAAAAGTGTTTTTAATTCATTATTTCTCAGTTGACTGCTCTAGTATAAAATCTAACAACTTGAATATCTAAAGCCTTTCATGAGTTGTTTTCTTTACTCAGCCATATCTCCTAATCATCACATATTATTTAGCTTGATATATATACTTTTGAAGTTTTGGATATTTAGTGCGGCAATCCGTATTTTTCAGCAATGACTGAGTTCCTTCTTACTGAGGACAGGAAAGTCTGAGGCTGTACATTAACTGATTCCATCAAACTTACTGAGGAGTGGCAAAGATGCGTCCTGGTTTTGGCAAAAATTATCAGAAAATGTAATGTTAAGAAAAAAATCTCTACCATGTTCTACCAATTAGTGATAATTTCCATTTTTATTTATTTATTTATTTTTTTAGATGGCCGGTAAGGGGATCTTAACCCTTGTCTTGTTGTTGTTAGCACCACGCTCAGCCAGTGAGCTAACCGGCCATCCCTATATAGGTATCTGAACCTGTGGCCTTGGTGTTATCAGCACCAAACTCTCCCGAGTGAGCCATGGGCCGGCCCCAACCTTTCCATTTTTAAATACTCTTTGGGAAAGCTATTAGGTCAACTTAGTTTCAGTGTTTACATGAGAAAAACAAAGTGTAGTTCAATTCTGTAATGGGACATGCAGGAGAATGGACCTGGGAAAGAGTGAGACTTTGAACTATTAACCATAATGATGATACAGGGCACAGAGGGAGGTATCACAAAGAATTTTATGTTGCTACTTTGTTAAGGAAATAAAACCATATTTTCATCTTCCATGGTGAGCAGTCAGTAGGTAATGCCTAAAACAAAGATCTTAAAGTGGCATTATAAGTATTTTATTTAGAGATATAGAGATAAATATCAAAATGAGCAGTTAAAAGAATGTTTAAGTGATTGCTTCTGGGGAGGGAAAAGGGAAGAACGGGGGACCACTGCTTTTTAAAACAAACTCCTATGGAATGACTACTGAAACAATGCACATGCAATTTTGATAAAAAGATTAGAATTTGGAAAAACAAACCCCAATCAGAGAGAAGCAAGTCTGCTTTGGCCACTGTGGTAAAACAGATTAAGCAGACACCCAACCCAGAATCAATAGCAGGGTGCTGGAAACATATCAGCATAAATGACAGAGCTTCATTCTCAGAATTTCAGGATTGTTAAACCAGTAGCACCTTTCTTTTACAGATAAGGAAACTGAGGTACAATGTTATACAGTTCACTAAAGATCAGAGCCAGTCACAGAAGGTATGTTTTCTAGAGTTGTCCTATTTTATAGGACTGAGGAAAATTCAAATAGGCAAGAGAAGTTACTGTAGATTGAAAAAATGGCTGCAATTACTCCTCTTCCTGTGTCCAACTCTATTATGAGGCTGGTATTTATTTCCCCATCTCTTGAATCTGGCCTGGCTTTGAGACTTGCTTTGACCAGAAGAATATGGTAGAAGCCACAGTGTGTAAATTCCAAGCCTGTGCCTCAAAGGGCCTTGCACATTTCTGCTCCTCCTTTTGGAGGAACCCTGCGTATCCCAAGTGAAAAAAGCCCCAGCCAACCTTGTTGGAAGATGAGAGAATACAGAAGAACTTAGTTACCTGCCTATGGCCAGCTGAACCGCAAAAATGAGAGCCTGTAAATGAAGTTTGAAGCCACTGAGTTTTTAGGTGGCCTGTTAGATAGCAATGGCAAATAAAGTTGTCATGTTTATGTAAAATCAGGTTAAAAGAGGTCACACAGGAACAGAATAAGGCTGAAATTTGAGGTGTAATATAACTCAAGATTTCAAGTAGTTAGGAAAGAGTCAAATTGGGTCATTTTAAAATGTCAAGAACTCCAAAAAGAACTCCTGTCTGATAATGTTCCCAAATGTCTGAAGACTTCTGTCTAGGTGAGCTTACCACCTAATCGATCCTATCGTTGGAACCTCTTGGCATTCAAGAGCTCTGGCTGTTAGTGGAAGTATAAGTCTCCTAGGAATGAGAGATTCTTTTGGCCCACTCAAGAACCTTAGGTATACTCTCTGGAGGAAAACATTACATCCTGTGAGGCAGTCGGGTTTTTCTAGATTTTGGTCCTTTAGCGATCCTTGTGAGTGGACACAGGATGGAAAGAAGAGTGTCTTATCCATTGGAAGGGTGTCTCTTCAACCCTCATCAGCATTTTATCTCAGTCTGAGACTGGGAATAGACCCTGGTTATAGTAGGTTCCTGCCACTTAAAGATTCAATCTTTTGGACTGGGAATAAGGATTCAGACAACTCAATCTTTCTCTAAATACTCTGTAAAGAAACAAGGCACAGAGAAGGAATGCTGGAAACATCCAGATTTTGAAAATGTAAATCAAACCAAGTTGCTAAATTAACCAAACCAAACCAAACCACACACATGCGGACATACATACACACAAATATTTGTCCTCCAGTACATAAGCAATGCTTGATTTAATTATAACTCACACTCAAGTAGCTGTAAAAACAAACAAAATGAAACAACACTTTAAAATCTGTATAGTGATTTGTGAACAGATTTCCTCTGGGAAATGGGTCCACTATTCTTAAGACTAGCCAAATAGCTGTTAGATGCCTGCATTTTATATGAAGTAAGACTATAAGGAAATGACATAAATTGAGACTTTGGTTTCAGTACTTTAGATGTATCAGATATGTAGATGTGTATGTTTATCTAAATTGAAGAGAGTACATAGATCTGAGATCTGTAGTTCATGTACACTTGGGCAAAGAAGGCTGCCTAACTTAAGGGCTTATTGGGATTTTTTTTTTTAAAGTAAAATGTAAGTTTGAAACCTGTAACTCCCTAGTTTTTTCTAGCCTCCAGACCCAGTTGGTTATTCATTTCTTCTTTTCCAACCCAGTGATTTTTTTAAAGGTCTTAATATTTGAAGGAAGCCAACAGTCATTTATTCTGAATTAAGCATGAAGTCAATAAAGTTTCAATTCATAATTTTTCTAAACCAGGCAATGTAAAAAATCAGATTGTCCTGAGCTGAGTAATGTAAGATTTTTTAGAAGTCACAGGTAAAAAAATATACTGCAAAGACCTTGTGGAAAAATGGAGAAAAGGCCAAAAATAAATCAGAGTGAATTACTTTAAAAATTGTATATGCATTATAGTGAGTCTTAAAGGGGTAAATATTTTGTGTGTAAAAGAATTGAAAACTTTAGTTTTAACAGCTATAAATACAGTTTTTGTTTGTGAAAATGAAGACCCTTGCAGTTTAACCATAAACTTAAAATAGCTATTCTAAAAGACGTATTCCTTTATTTTTTAGTGAAAGATTTCTAACAGAAATACCACCACCAATAGGTGCTTTGGATATTGGATCCTTATGTTTTTATATCACTTTATAGGATACAGGAAAAAAAAATTTAGACTACAAAAGGAATATTGCAGTAATATAATTAATTTGTAATTAATAAGTCATTCTCATTTAGCCTAGATGAAAATAAATAATAGAGTTTAATGAGCATTTATTGTCTTTTAACTATTTCTATATAATTTTTTTCTATATTAAACAAAGACACTTACCACAGAACACCATACAAAATGGTAAAACTGGATAGATAAACCGGAATTCTTTGTGGCCCAACATACTATAATAAAAAAAGAAATTAAAATAAAATATTAAGTATTATCATTGCATGATAGTTTGAGAAATTAATGTGTTAAAAATGAAATAAAATTCACATGATCTACGAGAGTACTTTGTAAAGTTTGTGGAAAAATAGAATTAAAAGACAATATGAATCCATGAACTTTTTAAGTACCCTTGTATTTATTTTTCTGATACTTGTCGATACTGAATTTCTTGCTTCAGAAAGCAGTCTCTTTATCTTTTAGTTAAAAGATGCTTATGATGTGTTAAAATCAATCATAACATTTGATGTCAATGTGAAGTTATAAAGTACAATTATGTTCTAAAAAAGGTATTTCTATTACCAATCCAAGTAAGTAATATTACTCAAATTCAGAATAGGATATACACATTATATTTTAGAAAAGTATTTCTCTGGTCCTTCAATACTTAAAATTTTGGTAGTTTCTGATTTTTGAAAGCAAATAAAATTTGTTCAGTTTCTTAAAAATTGAGTGTAATCCTTATTAAGCAAACTACATATCTGAAATATTCACTCTGAGCACCAGCATAATTACTACTACTTCTGTCTTCTAAAATAATTGCCACTAACAAAATAAGAGTTAATGCATTTTCAAAAGATAAACGGTTTACTTCTTGAAAAATTTAGTTCATTTAATTTCTTGATAACATTTTAAAAATTAACTATTTGAACAAATAAAATCTTACCTATAAATTAGCAGTGTCCACAGCACAGTCAGCAAAAGTACCTGGTACCTCTTTGGGGCTAGAAAGCAGCCATGAATAAAGAAGGGTAAGTGAGTACCCAACGCAATTGGAAATCCTTGACTGAAGTACCAATGCCATGGATGAGAACCGTAAAATGTTCCCAAATTCTGCAGCACGTTAAATTTCAAAAAATTAAATTGAACCAGAGTCCACTGGCATAGTTGAAGGAAAAAAAACAGAAATGTGTTATTGCAAAGTATTAACCTTTGGCATTAAGGAATTTGACAGAATGTTGACATTAAATCATAATTTAATAAAAACCAGACAGTAGTTTACATTAATAATTTTTATTAATGACTGTATGAAATCATTCTTAACTTTTTTTTAAGTATTGATGTGCTCTTTTTTTTTTTTTTTTTGTCTTTTTGTCTTTTTTCCATGTCCGGCAACGGATTGCAACCCTCAGTGTTGCCCCCGTACCGGACCGGGGACCGGCAACGGGATCGCAAGCCTCGGTGTTGCTCCCGCGCCTCGCTCAGCCAGTGAGCGGGAACCGGTCTACACGTGGGATCCGACCCCTCGGACGGGAGCGCCGCCGTGCTTCCCAAGCGGCGCACTATCCAGTGCGCCACCGGGCCGGCCCTTGATGTGCTCTTTGTTAGCTTGTAAAACACTAGGTTTTTGAGATTCAACATGAATCTCAAAAATCATGAATAAACATTCAAGCATATTTTTGCAATATAAGTTTTACATCCATAAAGAGGATCCTAAAAAATAATTTTTATGAGTGTGTATGGTATCCATATTAAAAATTTTACTCTAGTACCTTACAATGTCACATATTACCTATTAAGATAAAGCTTTGAATACATTATAATTTGAATTATAGCACCATGTAGAATGACAGCAACAGCAGCAAGAACAGCAGGTAACATTAAGTGTTCACTTGTGCCAGGCACTGTTGTAAGGATTTACATGCATTACCTCATTTAATTCTACAACATTATGAGACAGGTGCCAAAAGTATTTCCAGTAAGGAACCCATGGCAAGAAAGGTACAAAACTGGTCCAAGATCACAAAGCCAACAGTGAGAGTACTAGGCTTCAAAAAGTCATTAAATGACTGAAGAGGGAAAAAGGGAACCTAAAAACAAGCAAAGGCTATAAAGTTATAGATTAAAATCTCAAACCAAATGATTGAAGAATAGAATATTTTGGTTAATTTGATTTCTGGATGATTAAGGGGGTCAACTAAAGTCATTTAAAAATTATCCTTTATTATTACAAACCTAACAAAAATATAGTTATATGTCCCTGCCTCAAAATGGATGCTTTTAAACATTAAGTAGGAATATATAATCCTATTACATAAAAAGCACAGCAAATTGAACCAAAGGCATATGCTAGAAGTCTTGTTTAGTGTATCCCATATCATTTTTAAAAAATGATTTGCCTCTGTTCCGAAATATTAATGGGTTAAAAGTCCAGGTTGAGGTTTCAGTGCAATGAATGATTAAAATAAAAATGGCTATTAGCTTAATATACTTTACTTACTTGGCCAAAAAAAATACGATCAATTATCAGAGACAAACTCAAAGTGACAAATCTGAAAAACAGAATAGAATAGTGATTCACATTCTGAACTTGCTAAAAATCCAATACTAGCATATGGCTTTGCAAGTGCCTTGCATCAAAAGCCACTTCAAAAATGCTTTACAATTTCACCAACTGAATATAGATTTAAACATTTTGAATGATCTACTGCTTCTCAGCCTTTTGGCTAAGATCAAGTGAAAGATCTTATCTATTGATAGAGATTACTGATAGATTATTATATAAATATTATAAAAATATATTAACATAAAGATCATTGAAAGATTGTCTATTGCTGCATAACAAATTACCCCCAAACTTGGCAACTTAAAATTATGAATATTTATCACTTCACAGTTCCTGTGGGTCAAGAATCCAGTGTGGTTTAGCTGGATATCACTGGCTCAAGTCTTTCATGAATTGTAGTGAAGCTCTTAAGGGGGGATACAGTTTCATCTGAAGGTTTGACTGGGGGTGGAGGAGAGATCGGTTTCCAGACTCACTCATAGTTGTTGGTAGGGCTGTGTCTTTCAACGTGTGGCACTTTCCTTAAGAGTGCCCCATGACATTGTGATTGGTTTCCCCCCAGAATGAGCCAGCCAAGAGAATAAGACAGGTACCCAAGATGGAAGCCACAGTCTTTTTATAACCTAGTACTGGAAGTGACATCCCATCCCTTTGCTATATTCTACTCATTAGGATTGAGTCAACAAATCCAGCTTATGCTCAAGGGGAGGGTATTATACAAAGGCATGAATAGTAGGAGGATGGGATCACTGGGAACCATCTTAGAGGTTGCCTACCACAAACATATATACAGGAAAATACACTGTGTATAAAGCTCCATGAATCATAACTATATGAACACAACTGTGTAACTGTCACACAGAGCAGGATAAAGACCATTAGCAGCACCCCCTCATCCCTCCAATCAGTCAATCCTACCACTTTCCCAAAGGTAACCACTATTAAGAGTTTCTTTTTCCTTATTTTTCTTGTTTTTTTTATCACTATCCTAGTTTCTGATACAATAAGTGAATTTTACCTTTTTTCGAATTTTATAAGAATGGAATCATACTGTATGTATGCTTATGTTCAAATTCCTTCAATCATTACACTTGTGAAGTTGAACCACTGTTTTTTCACACTGCAGTTCGTTCATTTATAATACTGTGTATTGAAATGTCTTATATCACACTGTATTTATTTATTCTTTTGATGGACACCATGCTTCCCATTTTTAGCTATTATGAATATTGCTTCTATGAACATTCTTTTACATATCTCTTGGTATCCATATATAAGCATTTCTGTTGAGCATATACCTAGAATTGAAATAGCTGGGCCTGAGGGTATAAGTGCAATTAGCTTTAGTATATACTTAGTTTTCCAAAGTGTTGTAACAATTTACATTCCCACAGGAATATATAAGGATTCCACATCATCTTTAGCTATTTGGGTGGATATATAGTAGGATGTCATGGTGGTTTTAAACAACATTTCCTTGATGACTAATGAGGTGAATACCTTTGTACTTAATGGCCATTTGAATATTTTTCTAAGTACCTGTTCAGGTCATTGGATCTTTTTTTTTTTTGGCAGTTGGCCAGTATGGGGATCTGAATTCTTGACCTTGGTGTTATAACAACGTACTCTACCTGAGCTAACTGGCCAGCCCCTTTTGATCATTTTTCCTCTAGATTTCTATAAGTCTTGTAAACTGGATATGAGGTTTTGGTGGTTATATGTATTGCAAATGTCTTCTCCTATCTGTGGCTTGCTTTTTTCACTGTCTTAATGGTGAATCTAGTGAACAAGTCTTTAATTTTAATGTATTCAAGTGTATCTATCTTTTTTCTTTATAGCCAGTACTTATTCTCGCATATGTGAAAAAGCACCACTGTTTACGTTTGCATTAGGATCTGTAATTCCCTTGGATGGTTTTTTCTTTTTTGCTTATGTTGGGAAGTGTAGGAGTCAAGATTAATTTTTTTCTATATGGCTATCCAACTATGAATTTATTGAAAAGACTATCCTTTCTCTACTGTACTGAAGTTTCACCTTCATCATAAATAAAGTGACTACACATATCTGTCTATTGCTGGGCCCTATTCTCTTCCAATGATTTATTTGTTTTGCCTTGCACTAATTCTAAGTTGTCTTAATGACTATAACTTTGTCATAAGTCCTAGTATCTAATAGTGTAAAGTCCTCCACTCCAAAAATCTTAGCTATTCTTCGCCTTCTGTATTTCATGTAAAAGTTTGTCAGCTCATCAGTTTATACATACCCACACAAACCCTACTGGGATTTTAACTGGAATTGCACTGAATGTATAGATCAATTTGGGGAGACCTGATATTTTAAAATATCGAGTTTGCCATCCATGAACATGGTATATTCCTCCATTTATTTAGGCCTTTGTTTTTTCCAATAATGTTTTGCAGCTTTCTGTGTAGAGGTCCTGAATGCCCTTTATTAATTTATTCATAAGTATCTGATATTTTTTGATGCCACTGTCAATGATACTTTTGTTCTCCCATATAACCTTCACCTTAAATAATGTTATTCCCATGTACCCTTCATCTAGACTTCCCAAATGTTAACATTATACCATATTTGCTTTATCCCTTTCTTTCTCTTTTTTTTTTATTTTGTCAATATACAATGTAGTTGATTATTATGTCCCATCACCGAAAATTCCCTCCCTCCTCCCTCTTCCCCCTCCCACCCAAGCATGTCCTTTCCATTTGCTTGTTGTAAGAACTTCAAAAAAATTGTAGTTGTTATATCTTCCTCTCCACCCACCCCCCCCCGGTTTATTATTATTATTATTATTATTATTATTTGTGTGTGTGTGTGTGTGTATGTATGTGAGTGAATTAATTTATTTTTAGCTCCCACAAATA